AGTTAGATTAAATTTGCTTTTTATCGGCTGGCATCTCGATTCGATTTAGAAGGTCTATTTAGCCATGTCGGGCTACCGCTCTATTGCTGGGATGTATTGTATCAGATAACCTAGTAAATATATCTAGGTTACGTGAAGTACTCAATTCGTTTTTTAAACCATTTATTTAAAGTTATAAATCTCAACGGGAAAATTCGAATAATAAATGGCATTGCAGTCTTCGTTTAGCAGTACGTTTCGACCATCATCTAGCGATGAATGGGCAACAAGTAGAGCCCCAGCAACTGATCCAACCCCAGATTGGAAACGAAAACTTGAAGAAGCTGCCGAAGCTGTTAACCGACAAGTTGCAGCTTCGATTAATAGTGATTTTAATATTCATGAAGGTATCTTACTTCGACAATAAATGAAAGAATGGGAGAAAAAATGATTTTCAGGGCTATAATCTGCCAAGTTTGTGAAAGAACAGATTAAGATACTTAGCTAACTAGTAGTGCATGGTGCAGAACTCTGCAGTTCGAAAAGATCAGGTTAATGTGAACGCACTTCTTAAATTGTTGCTTGTAAAAGTCAATATCTCTGATGAGTAGCAGGATGAGCGGTACAACTACTTTTTTCTGTGTTTTGTCACCGGTAGCTTTGAAGGCTTCAAAGTTCTTTCACTTTTGAATTACACTTTTTCAGGAAGCTGCAAAAAAAGTGCTGGCTCTAGTGACGGTCCAACTTTTGGCAGCAAGAAGAGATCACGGTGGCACTGATCTGTGAGGCATATATTCAGTAGCTACTGTTTATTGTATTTTATACATTGATAATAAAAATATGGTCTTTTGAAATGTTGTAGAGGAACGGCAGAAAATCTTGTAACGAGCAACCGTTTATGATTATGCCAAATTTGAACCCAGGACATATGGTTATGTTCTAATTTTGGATCTGTTTTTGTTGCAGTGAAAAGGTGCAAAATAATTGCTAACTGTCAGTTAGAAATATGTAATGTATAATTACGACGTTTTGTTTTGAATTACAAGTAGCACGAATATGGACAAATTTGGGGATAGTATGGAAATCAGTGAGTCTCATGATTTTAGAGGAAACTTACATCTTCCCTTTCTTTGGATGAATTTTTGTTGCTGTTTCCTTTTTCAACATTTATTATCCCTCTCTGTCACTCTTGATCTCTGATTCATTTGTAGTGTTCAAGATAATTTAAATGGCATGGCTAACACTGGTTTGCAACTTTGACAAGTGAACAATATATTGGTAGAGAAATCTCTAGTTGAATCAATTCTTTTGAGTTTTCAGCATCTGTGGTTTTGAACAATAAAGGCTCGCTCTATCAAACTTGTTTCATATCTTGATGTTTAAGGGTTGTTGTTGGTTGCTAGCAGTTTTCCGGATGACTTCTGGAACTACATAGGATTACTCAGGTTTTTATTTTGCATACGGTATTATTCGGTCCTTCTGATCTGGTGATTCCCAAAGAAAAAGGGGAACAACAAAGTGTGGAATGGAAGGAAAGATAAATTTAGTCCTAGAAAATGCTCACTGATGTTAACATTGGTTAGCGAATTTTTTTTAAGTACCTCTTATCATGAAAGGATGGATCGGTTGATTTAAAGATCTTTTTTTTATCGCTGTAGAAATCAGTAAGATAACGAAGTCTTTATTACGCGATAACAATCAATACACGAAATAATCAATATTCGATTTTTCGAATTCCGTTTTTTAGTGAGTTAATAAAAAGGACCCCGTGATGTGGAATGCACAAGATTAATATATGATTCCGATGAAACAATTAGGATTAGTTCAAACATAATTCTCAATTTACATTTCATAAATTTAAATGAGGGAGATCAGGTCTAATTTTCTGGATTCCAAATTCCGATAGACATAGTCTTCCGGCATTTCGTAGTTTGTGCCTCTGTAGCATGTATTTTTACCCTTATCTTATATCTTTGGAAGAAACAAGTAAGATCTAGTTCTGGTAAAAATAGAAATGTGTTTTTAGTGATGTGACGCATCGATTTAGAATTGCATTTTTGTGTGCCTGATAATCTTAAAGCAGCATGATTTTGCATTAAAAATATGCAAAATATATAATAAGAGTTGAGATAGATATGAGAAGGGAATAAGAACTGCTTAGAATGATTTAACTTTTTACAATTAAAAAATTTAAAAGAGTTAAATTTAATACTCTAACCTAATATTTCTTGAAATGGATGGCATACAACTTCTGCATGATTTACTATGCATGCAAACGAATATTCGATTCATTGCTTGCCATGATTTATAAAGTTTTCCTATAAGACTTGGCAATTGTACAACTTCGTGACTTGCAGCAAATAGTGTAATTACACTCCTGGAAAATTTATCATTTCTGGTGAGGATAACTTAAAAAATGAGCAAATATCAAAGCTCATTTAGAATTTCTCAATAATGATAAAAAAGAGAAATAGGCAATATGAAGGTTTATTTGAAATCTTTCAATACTGATGAAAGAGTACATAGCTAATTTCAGGATTTCAGGATTTAAACAAAAGATTACATAAATGCTTGTGTCTGATGTTTGTATTCATGATAGCAAATAAATGCGGTCAATGTATAGCATATGGTTTTCAATGCAAATCCAAATATTTTCACAATTGAGAAATTTATTGCTCGAAATATAGAACAGCTATATGATTCCATTAGGTTGGTGTTTTTCTGGAAAAGAAAAAAAAGCCTACATTTAATTTCATCATTAAATGGATATATATCCTTGATTTCTAGCTGTAGTAAGTGTATCATTACATGTAATTATCATTAATTTAATAATTAATAAACATATTTTAATGGTTATATAAAACGAGACGACGACTAACCTGAATATGTTGATCATTGGTACATTTGTAGCAATAAGTCAATACTTTGAATTTCAATTTGATTTGCATAAAAAGGCATAAAATAATGAAAATAAGTCCAAGCAAGGCTATCTGTTAATAAACATTATATTAAAAATAAATTATAAGTTAAAAGTGAAGAGAAATGAATTTCCGCTAAGAAACTTACTTCCCAGCTGTAAATGAAACCAAGAATGATGTTTGTTATCATTGATGACATGCGTCTTATCAATTCTGATAAATGCGGATGATAAAACTATAATATACAAAACATTGTTTAAATCATTATCAAATTTTCTATTCATTTATTATTTTCTATGTTAATTTTATTTCAAACATTTCATTATGATAGTATATCGGAGAGGAAAATATTAATGCTGAAGTATGAGAGGTAGCTGATGGAGAGGATTTAAAATTACTACTATGCCTTGGCCAACGTATCAATATTCTCTCGTTAGGGATACACATTGATGATATGTAATCATTTGTTATAATTATGGAAAAAATCACTATACCGAATAATCATTATACCGAATGATTGGATAGTTCTCGTAATTTTTTGATTTAATTATATAAAAGAAAAATTAACTTATAAATTATTTACTTATATTTTTGTCAAGAGAATCTTACCGATTTTGCTTCAGTTGTTAATAAAATATTTTCATCTACCAAAGTGTTGATTTTCCATTTATTGAATGGCTTCTTATCAGCTATTTTTAATAAATGACGAAACAAAATGACACGAAATGACACAGCCATATGTTCCGATGTTACAGCTATTAACAAAGTCTAAAAAAAAAAAATCCCCTAAATTAGTCTTAAATTAGTCTGATTGTGCTCCTAAGGGCTAGTTTGATTGTATATTGATTAGATCTGATTCTGATCTTCATATATATCCATATCTGCTAAGGAAGAAAGGTAATGATTAATTAATGTATGCGCATATAGTATTGACGAATTGATCAAAATTTAATGAGATAAAATTTGAAAGAGTTTAGACCTTTAAACAATATTTTGTTTAGGCTCTATTCTGTATTTGGTTGTGTCCACTGTCCTATTCATTATAACCTTTATCCTATACAAGTATTACTATTAGGTCATCTGAAGATGCAATAAGCTTTGAAAGAACAAAAATAAAAAAAATAAATGTTAACTGATGTAGTTTGTGATATGAAAACGGCGAAACCAATAATAGATAATTGAATGGCGCAAAGAGTTAAGACATGAATGCTTGGAGTGTCACCAAGCATTGCCGTGAAAATTTGTCCTATAACAATATTGTATGCCGCTTGTTCGAATCCATGTATTATGACCAGGATGAAACCAATAAGCTAGAAATGTTGAATTCGTCATTTAGTGTCATTTCATGAAGTTCATAGATCACTCGGAAATTTATCAGTTATATTCGATATCTATAACATTACAAGTTTCAGTATTTAATTTCTTGATTTTTAATTTTTACGGAAGTTCATGAAGTTCATAGATCAAATAAATTAATAATGTTATTTTATGATTGATGTCATAAATTTGTTCACAGATCTATAGATTCAATTTAATGGCTTTTTAAATGGACTAATTGCTGAGTACATTTTATAAATGCATAAAAGTTGAAAACATAAGGAAGATATGGTAAACTTACGAGAAACAATTTATGATTATGATAATTACGTAAAACACTTCTGGTGTCACTTATGAAACGTATGACAAAATTTCCTCCTGGAAAAACGATCGATTTCTTGAATGCTGGAGCGTTGATTAGTGTTACGGTTAATTCATCCAACGAATAACATCGATTGCAATATTGGGTTAGCTTGAAAGAAAAGAAAAAAAATTACATTAAAATGATTTAGGCCAAAAAAAAAAAAAAATAAGATCGAGAAAATATTTTAATATCACTTACCATAAATTGATAATCAAATTGTTGAAAATTCCTAATATACGATGCTGCATGGATAGCCTTTTTAATATGGAAATAATATGTAATAGTTGTAGAAATACTATCTGCAACGAGTACCATTGATAATACTATGATAAATATATCGCCTTTCTTTATCATTCGATTCGTATCAAGAAGATAACCACCATAACTATAATTTCATGAAAAAAAAATATGATTAGATTTGATAGAAATCAAAAATTTATTCTCAAATAAAAATTGTTAAAAGTTTTACTTTGAAAGATTCAGAATGTTTTAGGGAAAGCATTGGATAATATTATTGTTCCAATCAGTTAATTAATTTGACTTTTCGTAATTACATGAATAAGGTAAATTGAAAGGTGAAGGTGATAGAATGATCCGAAAAGCTAACAGTATTCCACAACCAATAAATGTGAAAATTGTGAATGATAGGATTCCGGAATAGGAGCTTTTCCAGACTTGATGTAAGATAGCATATCGAGTACAGGTTCTCACTTCCGATGATAATCTTATCAAATATTCATCGTTTGTAATATTATCAATGGAAGTTTTTTGTAGTAATAATTCTTTTTCCATTTGAATTGTTTGGGAAATTTTGTCGGATAAAATGACATTTGATTTCTTTGAAAGCTGTAAATTTTTTGAGTTAAAATGACCATTTTATCGTTGAAATTAAATGTTATAAGTAATTTTTGCATGTTAGTTGCAATTAAAATTTGTCACCAAAAAATGAAATTAAAATCATAAAAAAATTAAGCCTCTCATAACTAAGCCCCTTTTTTTTTCTTTTTTTTTTTATTAAACTTCCTTATAACACATTGCTATTTTCCACATATATTTTTTCAAATTTCTTGAATTTGTTAAAATTCCTCTAAAAGATATTAGGAATTTTTTTATGATTAATTCCAAAAATGATCCAGTTTACTCTTTTTGAAACTATATTCAATGCTATGACCAATGGTGCAACACTCAATATGACCAATGATAGATGAACTTCATGATAAAAACAAATTATCAGAGATGAAATGATAATTCCAATATTTCGACATTCCATCCCAAAAGTTTCCAATCCTTTCTCCACCAAACCAATATTTCTGCAATTTTTGTTTGGCCATATCAAAAATTGCATTTTTATATGTTACTGTAAATTATTACAGCGTTCTCATTTGAAGGACGTCGAATTTATGGGAGAATATTAATTTCAGATTTTCCTAATTTCCAAAATCGAATTTAAATTCGATAAAATTTGCTTGCATTTTTGTTTAAAATATCAGTTTTGTTCAAAAATAACGGAAGAAAAGTGAACTTACTCGATTACTTTTGCAATATTTTCTTCATTTAAATGTTTACATCTGTTCACTCCATCATAACACTCTTTCAAACGAATTCTAATTCTGTCGCTAAGAGCTATGGTTGACAAATGCTTAATTTAAGTTACTTGTTATTAAAAATATAAACTAAACGACAAATTTTTAAAAAACTTGATAGAATTTTAATTCAAAAATCATTACTTTTAAAATCTTTTGCATAGTTTACGATTTGAAGGAGGATTAGAACTAAATATGGAGTAAAATAAATTAAAATTTAACATTTAAAATAATTCTATGAAAAATATTCATTTAAAGTATAAATGTGACAAAATAATAATCTATTTTAATCCCATTCATAGCATACAATCTAATGTGCAATCTTTGTCATCAAATGGGATGTGTTAAAAGTTTTTTTACCTAACTAACAAGACAATATTTACGATAAGGTATGTTGTTGAAGTG